GAGTCAGTATGTTTTTGAGCCTCAAGGACTGTTTGATGAATTTCCATTCCCTGATGTCAGTTTTTGATTGAGTAGGGTCCGTATTTTCCGATATACCTTGCACGATTATATTCCTCCCGCAGAAAAACTGATCACAAGTTTCTTTGGGGATGTTCCGGATGAGACAGCGCTCAGAATACGGTATGTAAGGCAGTATTCTTACATTCCCATCTGATTTCAGTAAATGACTCGCTAGTAAGACATTCTCTACGTCGGTAGCATTCTTGAGTGCTACACGAAGTAGCCCGGGTGATTTTCAGATTCAGATTCAGATTTGTGTAGTAAGGAGAGAAGGCCTACGGCCTATGTTATTCCTTTTCTAGTATGCTTCTGTGAGTGTCCAGTCTTCTCTTGAAAGAGTCAATTGAAGGTGCGGACACCACTGCTTCAGGCAGCAGGTTCCAAGTATTGATGACTCGGTGTGAAAACCTGTATGCCACGGGTATTTTGTTCGTTCTTGGCTTTTCTACTCGCCTGCTATGTCCTCTGAGGTGTCCCGATCTAGTGGGAAGAAAGAGAGAGAATAAGTTAGGTCCGAAATCATTTCTCAGTATTCTGTACATCAATATTAGATCTCCCCTTAGTCTGCGATAGGACAGAGTAAAGAGGTTCAGTTTTTCAAGCCGCTCTTTATATGATAAACCCGGAGTTCCGGAATTGCACGCGTAGCTGCCCTCTGTACCTTTTCTATTATGTCCGAGTCACCTTTAAACAGGGGCTTGCAGCCTGAACACAGTTCTCTAACTTAGTTCTCACTAAGGATGTGTATAATGTGGTGAACATGGTAGTATCAAGCTTAGTGAATGTCCTTTTTAAAGCCCAGAGGGTTCGAAACCCCTTAACTGCGACCTCCCGGCAATGGGCCGTCGTCTTAAGATCATTGCTCACTGTCACCCCTAGGTCCTTATGAGACCGGACTACGGGTAATGACACATCCCCTATGTTGTACGTATTAACCTTTGAATCCCCCAAGTGCATGTAGACACACTTTTCCGAGTTGATAGGCATTAGCCACTCTTTAGACCAGTTTATCATATTATTTAAGTCCGCCTGAAGAGTAAATGCGTCTTTGTCTCCAGTTATTACTCGCCAAATTTTTACATCGTCAGCGTATAATAACATTGGAGACTGTACTATACTTGTAAGATCATTAACGTACATTATAAAAAGTAAAGGACCTAAGACGGAACCTTGGGGTACTCCACTAAGTACTGGTCTCCAGATGGAGCACTTGGAATTTATTCTTACTTTTTGCCTACGACCTACTAGGAAATCCTTAATCCATTTTAAAAGAGGTCCGGCAATACCAAGGTTTGCCAACTTCAATAGCAGCCTATTAGTTGGCACCTTGTCAAAAGCCTTACTGAAGTCTATGTAGACAACATCCACTGAGTTTCCGTTGTCTAGCGCATTAATCCAGAGCTCCCTAGCTATAAGGAGGTTCGTTGTACAGGATAGACCCTTTCTAAAACCATGTTGTGCCATGTTCAGCAAGTTATTGGTTTCCATAAATGCTGTTATGGTCCGTTTGATTATTCTTTCCAGTATTTTAATTACAACACTGGTGAGGCTTACGGGTCTGTAATTTGATGGAACTTGTCTTGGTCCTGTTTTATGTATGGGAGTGACGATTGCGTCCTTCCAGTCCATAGGTAACACACCTTGGTCAAGTGACATTTTGAATATCACAGTCAGTGGGGCTGCGATATATTGGGCAATATGTCTCAAGATTTTAGGGTGTAGTTCATCTGGTCCTGTTGACTTCTCCATGTTTAGGGTGCTAAGAGCCTTAAGCACATCGTTTTGGTCGAAGTCCACGGTGAGCAGCTGGTTTGTTGACTCTGTAATTGGGTCTGGTTCTTTCTCTAGAGGAGGTTCCTGAGTGAAAACTGCCCCAAAGTAGTCAGCCATAACCTCAGCTTTTTCCTGATCTTCCTCTATCATTTCAGATTCACTTCCTACTTTAATTAGGTTGGGAATCCAATGATGAATCCTTGTTCTGTAGTTTATGTACGAGAATATCCTCTTGGGCTGCTTGAGTGCAGATTCTGCCAGCTGCATTTCATATTTTCTTTGCGCTTCCCGAATTTTAGTTATACACTCGTTTCTTATCGATCTGTAACGTTCCATCGTACCCGCTGTGCCAAGGCGGATGGCAACATCCCAGCATTTCTTCTTTTGTCTTAGTAAGCGTCGAATATCCCGCCCTATCCAGGGATGTCCGTGCTTCTTTTTCTTTGGGACAGTCCAGGGTATGTATGGTTGAGTTACCCGATTGTATAACTGCCTGAATAGAGTCCATGCCTCTTGTACTGATGCCTTTGAGTCAATTTCCCAGTTCTCAGCCGATGCTGCGGAGTTAATTGCCTGCATATCTGCCTTCCATATGTTAGGACGGGCCGGCGCAATTGTTTGACAAGCAATCTCAGCCATGAATTTGAATAAGATGACTGCATGGTCACTTCTCCCAAGTGGTGGGAGAAAAGCCGTTTGACCAACGTCATCACCGTGTGTGAAGACTAAATCTAAAAGAGAAGAGTTTCTTAAGTCGTATCTTGTGGGATCTCTAATGTGTTGGAATAATGCTAGTCCAATCGAGGTTTCTAACAGTTTGGAGTCGAACGACGATATGGATGACCCTACTTCTAAGTTAACCCAGTTTATATATGGTGCATTAAAGTCGCCTACTACAAGGCTTTTACCGTTGTTACACCAGGACTTAAGTTTACTAAGGAGAAAATCATCTGCTACACATTCTGGACTGCGATAAACTACAACTACTTCAATATCTTGCCTTCGGCATTTCAACTTACATCTCACCAGTTCACATGTCCCTGAAACATGTGCTACTGTCTCAGCTAATCTTATGGTTAGGGTACTTTTGGTGTACAAATAACCCCGCCTCCCCTTCGGTTTAATCTATCAGCCCTACTGGTTATGAAACCAGTCAATTGGATTTCACTATCTAATACTTCTGACGTTAACCAAGTTTCCGAGACAGCGATAACGTCCGGTTTTTCTTTGTCCACCACTGACTTCAGCTCCGCCATTTTATTTAGTAGGCTGCGAGCATTTGTGTAGCACACTTTTAAGTCTGTGGAGAGCTTTCCCTTGCCACCCAGAGTGGCTTGGGGATCGTTTTGCTCCGAACTTTTACAATCTGAAAACCCTTAAGAACGAGGTTTCTTTCACCGTTTCGGCGACGCTCGTTTATTTCCGCTTCTGCAGCTCTTCTCTTAATACGATCAGCTAGGCTGAGGTCCTCACGGACATATATTCCGGATCCAATCAGTTTACGTGAATTACTTAGAATCAGGTTCCTTTCTTCCACCGTGTTGAATGTAACCTTTAGGAGGCGGTTTTTCTGAGGACTTTCGGAATCCACCTTTTTTCCTATTCTATAAAGCTTACAAATACTAACTCCTGAAACTGTATCTGGGAGTAGTTTACTTAATGATGTCTTAATATGATTGAGATCATGTTCAAATCTTGCCTTTGGTTCAGTATCTGAAGATTCTCTTATCTTATGAAAAATGACTGATCTATCAGAGAGATCTGTCTTTTCACGCGGTGGGGATTTTTCTTCTGATAACATCCCTTCCAATGTTTTGCTGACCAGCTGCGTTTTGCCTACAGCCTTTTTCTTCTTATTTTTTTTCTTCTTACCGAAGTCCATTTGTCACCACTCAGAACAGCCACACCTGGACTATGTGGAACGGTGACAGTTTTATCCGGATCTTCTATTTCGACTAGAGGTGTATGACTGCCGATGTCATTATCAAGCGACACTTCATTTCTCGTTAATGTCAACGGAGATTTCACGTTCCCGTCAACCGCAGTCAGGTGTTTAATGGGTCCAGTAGCAGCACTTACTACACTGACACATTCTTCATCGTCAGTGCTCCTGTTATCAGTGCTTCCGCCATCATTTTTCTTGCAGGCCAAAGCCAATAGGCCCATAGCCTCCTGTATTAGTACCTTTTTATCCGTACAGCAGAACATACAAAGCCAATGCGAGTTAGGCTTCGAGCATCTTTTGTAAGCCGTCGGACTTAGTCGTGTACACATTTTGTGATACCACTTTTTACAGTCGTCACACTGCATTCCCTCCTCAACGGAGAACAAACAATTTGGTTGCCCACATTTGTGAGTCTTACCAACCATTGTAATTCGATTTAAAAGGTTTAAAAACAAAAAATGATAACAATGTGAACACAAATGTTAGTCAAGGACTAAAAACAGGTACTCAGGACAAAATTTAGTAAAAAATTTCAAACTTTAACCAAAGATGCTTAGATTATTTTCCCCGAGTGAGCCGTGCGACTGTCAAAGGCTCTATTCTTAGAAGTCTAAGTTTCTTGTTCAATTCTCCCCAGAGCATTCTACCATTTTTTTCCTGTAAACTGAGAAGGTCAGGGTTGTCTTTGAAGTTCATGACTACTGGAATACCCTGCCCAAACAAGTGGTATCAGCCCCATCAGCGAAAATTTTCAAGGAGAAGCTCGGCTTCTTCTATAAAACAAGTCGCAAGGCCTAATACAGGTACACTGACCTACTATACTTATTATAAAAATCTGAAGTCTGAATGAGTGGCAAGACGTACTCAATCGTGATCACATGCGGGTGCTTGGCCAAAATCCTTCAGATAAGCGTGTGCCCAACAAATATAATAAAGTAACATGAGCCTCAGGGACTTACGAAACTATTAACTTTTTGGATTTATTTACCTATACTTATCTTGCGAGTTTACTCTCGAAGTTACTACTTGATCAATGCTCCCACTGCTAACGAATGCTTTTGTACTGCAGATGCATAGAAACTAAAATACGAATTATACAATGAAATGAACAGGAATACTTTCCTACTATCTAGAGCACACCCTAATGAATAAGGATTTTATTTTGAAGTTCAAAGTGGATTGAAGGTTGTCTGTGCTTTTGAGCCAAGTTTAAAATCTTTTAATGTCTACTGAATTATGCGACTCTGGTATATTCAGCAATGAGGATTGTGCTTTACTATCTCAATTAGATAGGTATGTGGAACAACTTATGGAAAAGCTGTTTTAAAATTACTTCCATCATAAGAAGTTCGCATTGAAGCTCTTAATTTGCCTAAACATATCCGAAGTCTGTTCGAAATACATATGTACACTGAGTCTTTAACGGTACGAAACTGACCAAATTCTTCGTCCTCAGTCTAAATCTGTCATTTAGGCTGCAATATATGTTGCTCGTCCTATTTCACATTTTTCAGTTGAAAATATAGTTGGTAGTAAATAGCGACATATATGTTTGGATATGTGTCGTGTAGTGAATAACTCTTCTACCATAAGTTTTCACTTGATATAAAAAAATAAGCTTAAAGCCTTGTCTTGCTCGTACCTTGGTCCGTCTTCCGTGTAAGGCCATGGTCTGGAGAGTACAATGGAGTTAAAGCAGTCAATAGAACTGCCTATATTGATCCTTAATAATAACATCGCCGTGTGTTGCTTTCATCACAGTGTTGGTGCGAAGTAAATATTTATTCTACTTAGAAAGCTCAGTCGCCCAATTCTGAATTATATAAGCAACGTCAATAACTCCACGAACCGATATGTCGGTTAACCCTTTAGCCATGTTAAAGCCCATTTCTGTGCTAACCAACATATAGCTTTAAAATATTTTGTGGCTAAAAGTATATGGCGCGCGTCCGAAACTTTGGTCGATAAGTCTTCAATTTCCTATCCATCTCTACCTAGTACTTTACGGCCCCCAAATGCCCTGGTATAGCCGAGAGTGGGGTGGGCCCACCCTCCCTTTCGAAATGCTCTCACACGGCCACGCGTATACAGCCTCTGCCAGGGAAGTCCTACTCACTTCCTTCTCGTGGCGGGGGTGTTGTTTACGAAAATGAGAGGACGAAAAGCGAATGTCCGGCGCTTTAACCGGGTTCAAAACCACTGGTGCACATGGGCTCCAGTATCCTGCGGGAACAAATGGCGTATGAACCAATCGTTGGTCACCGGCTTCCATGGGACTGCATCTCCTTACGATGCTCCACTGCCTTGTGGATCAGACCTTCAGGTCGAAGGCTCGGGGTGTGGCCCCTAAGATAACCACCTGCTTCGGTCTGGGCATCCGAGCAGTATCACAGCCCGCACACAAATATGATGGACTGTCGATAATTATGAAAAATACTTTTCTTGCTTCAACTATTAATCGAACGATTCACATTATTATTACTATTGTTATTATTTACCACGTCATTTATTCACTCTTTTATTCCTACTCTGTCTATCCTTATTTTTCGACTTATACAGCAGCTCGTCTATGGTGGAAATTCGGTTCTATCTAAACGTTCTCGAGTAAAGACGTTATCAGATATGGCCCAGAATAGAAGCCAGTGGCGATCCTGCTGTAACCTTTTACTTTCTTCATAAAAAGTGTTTGCTTATTCCTTAACTGAAAGATCTCTTCTGAGTGTACGTTTCTGTTTCCCCCATTATTATTATTACACTACCTTACACTAATCTGTTCGTTATCGTTTTCTTTGTTTTTTTTTTACGCTCCTTACCTTTTTTTCCTTCTCTGCAAATTATCATTGTTTTGTGTGGTGCATATATATTTGGTGCCCTCCCGTACCAATATTTATGTGTTTAAATAAATAAAAAACAAATAGTACTTTACGTCTATTAGTATACTGGTATATACAGGCAATGTTTCAAAGAGATCAACATTTACTCACGAGTATTTGCGTGGTATGTGCTCGGCAAATTTGGAATGTAGTGCAATGTGAGACTATCGGGAGTGTCCAGTAGCACTCAAGTTCATCACGTTCATAACTGAACTTCGTCATTATCCAATATTTATTCTGACAAAATGAGTATATACTTGCATTCACACTACGTGGTGCGCCTTTGGAACCTATCGAAATTTCACTTTTTGGATAGTTGTGTTAGTGTTTGTGGAGTGGCAAACCGGTTAATCTAGACCTATTGCTATTCACAGAGATGTATGGTAATCTTTAACGCCAACGTGATGTGGATGACTGTTAAAGGTTTTGTTCACTGTCAGTGAGAGCAGTTATTTTATATCCTTGTGAAACCTAGTTTCTCTGAGTCAGTAATGTACGGTGACTCTGTATTAGGTCTTCATGATTTCCAGACAACTGTTCACATCCAGTGGCAACACCGTGTTACTGATTTCAAGGTTTAGAAATGGGTGTTTTGGGTGCAATGACGATGATTTGATTGGTGCCACAATCTTGTAATATTAGCTTTGGGTTGAATTCCTTATATCTTTATTTTACCAATTTATTTCTCTGGAATCATATGTTCGGTGTCTAATCTTTTCCATTACAAATTATACTTTTATTACCTCTACTACTCTTAATTCACCCTTACACTCGTCTCGCTGCGCTAACGAGGTGCGATCTAAATTGATCCTGTCCATAATTCTCCGTCAGGGTCTCCCGATTTACTTATTTTTACTTTTTATCACAGAAGTTTGGAATATTTCCAAGACAGGGGAACCACTCAATGTTTCAACTTAGACCGATGTGCATTTTTACCAGGTCCTATGTTATTTATTAGTATCCCTTAGTAATGCGTTATATTATTGGCTTTAATCAATTTAGATCCAGCTTGGTTTATATCCAGATATTTGAGTTAACAGTTCAATTTAAACTATAGTCACAACCTTTGTTTATAGACGTTTAATTAAAATCGTTGAGCCCACTGAAATAACTTTTTAAACATGCGAAATGTTTTCAGCCTTGGCCCTCTCTCTACGTTTCTTCAACCACTTGAAAATGCCGTTTCCAAAATCCGATGGAATACTTGCATATGGGCAAAAAACATTGATTTTTAGAGCTGACTTTTATCGTAATCATATAGTCTCGTATGTCTACTCTACAGGGTAAGGCCAATAATATTCTCAGAGAGACTTTGATGTTGGATTCCGAACGGTAGAAATTTCGCTAGGAAGTTGTATGTTTACAGAATGGAAACTTGTCATTTCACAGTATAAGACATTCATCAAAGAGACGATTTATTTCAAATACTTATGCTGAATAAATGACCACCTACAGCTTCGAAATTTGTTGAGATTTTACAAGTTTAGGCTTGACTGCACATGATAGTTTTTTGTCGCTATATTATGGTATTTTTAATATTTTTCAGCTTGGAGTTCGGTGTTTTTAAAGTTGACGCTCCCGAGTCACACGAACGTCGCAAACTATTGGAAAAGGTGAATTATGTTATTTAGTTATATTTTTCAATAGGCCGTCGATTATTTTGATAGTATAATCTCTCAGACTGTTCTGGAGATCGAGGAAGAGCGTGCTGTGGAGGAAAGCGAAACTCTTACCAAAGTCGAGGCCGGTATCATAGAGGAAAATCCGAACTCAGTGCGATACAAAATATATGAGAAATACTCAGGACAGCTCGATAAACTTATTGAACCACAAGTTTATCTACATCTTGGTCATTTTCAGCTTCTGCTCAATCGTTTTGACGATGCTCTGTCTGCGTATCTTAAGTTTGAATCACTTTGTCCCAAGGAATCTTCTATTAACTGTCCCTTCCTGTATGGCTTAGGCCTGTGCTGTTTTCGCTTCAACGTATTCAACAGGTACGCTACTCACTGTTACTTCAGGCGTTTCTTTGTTCCAGGACTATTAGACTTTTTCAGCAAATTTTATATTTACAACCGTGGTTTCCAAAGTGTAAAGAGATACATATTCGTCTTGGCTATATATACAAGGTACAAAATAACTTCGAACGAAGTTTGAGACATTTTCGACAAGCTTTGAACGACTCAACACCTGCCACATTTAACCGTATTGAATGTTGGTTTGTCTTTTAATTAACTAACTTAACTGTAGTACGGTTTCATATCGCTCATCTGTTCGAGGTGTGTGGCAAACCTAAACAGGCAAAGACCGAATACTTCCAATTATTGGATGTTGAGAAAAGCGGTGCTCCGTCACACATCCGCCATCTTTGTCTTCGACAATTAGGTATGTCATATTTTATTTATTCTTCCCTAATTTTTCCAGTTTTGACTACATTGATCACCTAAGTTGTATTATTATGTTAAATTACTTAAGCTTACATACTAACTACTGGTTTTACAGAATAACGTGAAATTCGAGGTATGCAGTGTGAATCGACCATATTTTTGTTACGAATGCAAAATTTAATCAACTGTTATGTCATATTTTAGCTTCTACGTGTTCTTTCAAATGCACGATATGTGGATGACTCACCGGTTGTAGTCACTCCCTGATTGTTCGCGGTCGAGGTGCTACTTAAGAAATTGAGAGGGCGAAAAGGTAATATCTGGCTCTTAAACTGGGTTGGGGGTTCGGAAGGTCCATTCGGAGGGTTTGGAGGGTTTGGGTCCCAAGATCCTGAGGGGACAGATGGTGTAAGGACCTATTCTTGGTCATCGGCTACCGTGGGATCGCATGCTCTAACGTTGCTCCACTGCCTTGTGGATTATACCTCTAGATTAAAGGCTTTGAAGTGACCCCGTAGGAAAAACACTTGCTTCGGTGTGGTTTGGTTACTCGAGCAGTACCGTAGCCCATACACAAATCAAATGATATTGCACTAAGCGCTAGATCGATTGGATCTTCAATAACAGTCGGTTATGATCTGTTAGATTAGGAAGCTCTATAAAAATGAGAAATCGATATGGGTAGCGTAGTCTTTTTGTTATCTCTCCCTACGCCCCGACAGATTGCAGCCCGAACGCAATTAAGGGTGAGATCTAGCACCAGTTAAGTGGTCTCCAGACTCTGATCATGCCCTTGTTTGCTCTAATTTTACGCTTCAGCGGTGGATCGATGTCAGTTCATTGGTTGCAGCTTCTTTTGCAACTAAATATCATACCGAGCTAGGTTCAAGGGTAGCTGTCAACTCACCTACAAGCATAATTAGACACTGGCTACGTTTGCATGACGCCATGAAAATAGCGAGTAAAGTTGCTTATAGCTTTGCTAAACATTTTTGTTTGTTGTAGGTATTAATCTAATGATTGCAAATAACTGATTCATGTCACTAGAACACAACGACCCGTTGTTCGTTAGAATTTACCGCTTCTTTTGGACCGTTAAACACACTGTCTGTAGTACTTATCCAGAATCGATTCCGTTCAGTAACTTGATGAATGGAACCTTTAATAAAGACTGTTTCACTAAGAAATATCCGGAAATAAACAGTACGGAGTTTGCTCAGTGTGTTTACAATTGATTGATCACTGGGTGGTGATCAATGTCATGCTTGTCTAGTCCTTATTAGTGCAGATCGAACGCTATCGATCATGTTGCAATGTGGCCACCAGTCTAGGTGACTCGACACTGCGGGCACTATGTATTGATATTAGATGGTAGTTGGAGGTAGTCAACAGGAAACCCTGGACCCGGGTTTCGTGCTACTTGGCACTCGTCAGCAAGGTGTACCTGTAATCTTGAGGGAACTGGTGCTCCCTGGCGGATTCGATCTCGTGTCACCCAGCTTCACAGTCAGAGACGTTACCACTGAGCTATCCGAGCCGTGACTAACCTCCTGTGGCCACATTGCAACATGATCGATAGCATTCGATCTGCACTAATAAGGACTAGACAAGCATGACATTGATCACCACCCAGTGATCAATCAATTGTGATTACATCTCAGTCCTACAGGAGGTTAGTCACGGCTCGGATAGCTCAGTGGTAACGTCTCTGACTGTGAAGCTGGGTGACACGAGATCAAATCCGCCAGGGAGCACCAGTTCCCTCAAGATTACAGGTATACCTTGCTGACGAGTGCCAAGTAGCACGAAACCCGGGTCCAGGGTTTCCTGTTGACTACCTCCAACTACCACCTAATATCAATACTCAGTGTGTTTGCTACATTCATTTATATTAGACTCTTTCCTTGACTTCTTTTGTATGTTGGTACTACTACGGGCTGAGCAGTTCTAAGGTTAGACACAAGGTTTAGTTTGCTAAAATAAAACATCCGATAGATCTAGAAATATATGTTGATTGGGGGTTAAATGGTATCTCAACATGGTAAATTGTGGAAAATGGCTTCTGGCGGGAGATTTCATGAGGTGTTATGAAGGATATCAGTAGAACTAATAAATCAGAAACGATCGCCGAATTCTAAATTTCAAGCAAAAACCATTAAATAGAAAGTAATGATATGTGTATGTTCTAATTTTTTCTGATGTAAGATTACTAGTTGCAGGTGTTTACTTAGATGTCAGAGCATTTGACTTCTAGGCAATAAATTGCGGACTACAACTCCCCACCTATCTCACCCTTTAAATGTTGATGGTGTCTCTGGTCCTCAGGTGAAAAATGTGTCTTATCTGTGACAGCTTATGCTTAGATTCCGTACTTTGAATTTAAACAGTATTAGCTGTTAGCAATGAATTCCGAGTAGCACCTGACAGACTTAGGAAAACCAAGTAGTACACTATCAGATGTGAGTTTCCCAAAATGAAAAACTTTAATTTCAAGTAAAAAGTGTTTATTTTTTAAATTTTAGCTTGGCTTCATCACACAGGAGCTTTTGGATCAAAACCTGAATCGCCAAACGAAAAAGGCCTAGATGTTCAGTGGCTTCAAAGTGCTTTGGAGTTAGATAACACCAATGGCAAAACCTGGTACTTACTAGGCCGTTGTCAAGCTGCTTTAAATCATGTTCAAGAGGCTTTCGCAGCATATAGAAGTTCTATAGATAAAACGGAGGCTAGTGCTGATACCTGGTTTGTTCTTAAAATTTCTTCATAGTTTAGAACTGTACTATTAAAAAAATGTTCACTCTTTCGAAAGTATGGTGACAAATTGGTTACTTAAATTTTATTTTTGAGCAATTATCAACTAACGTTGCTGTCTTTTATCTACACAATAACTGTTTAAGTAGTTTAAAAAACATCAGATTCAATTAAACCATATTCATGTAAAACATTCACAAATATGTAGTACTACTCGATTCATTTTTACTTTGGGAACATAAGAGAGGGACCGCAGTATTTGTAAAGTATTTTAATGATTCAGTAGGGCGAACAATATGCTTTGTAGACTTTTAATTTTTTTTTTGTCGACTGATCTTTTCTACATCATATTTCAGTAAATGCACTTGAATAAGGGATTTCTTAGTTCTCTTAGTTGAGTTCTCTGAACCAGAGGGTTTAACTGAAGAGCTTTCTTTGTCTTACCGGACGACATCACCAGTGGTCATTTCATTTTGTAATGAGTCTTTTAGTTATTTCGTTCTGGCGACATGGTGACTGTTTGTTTTCTTAGGTGTCATTGTCTTCATTCATCATTCCATTCTCATTGATTATCTTTTTCTATTTATCTCTGACCATCATGTGATCAATTGACCTTTTTCGTTCGGGTTTATAGATCGGGTACATGTCTATGTGTCACCCAATTACCGATTAGTCTGAACACTGCACTTCTAGACAATTACTGTGATCCTTAGAATCTCCTTGATCCGGAATTTAAAAGTTTTTTTCAGTATTCATGTCCATGACTGTGTGTGTGTATTGATGGGAGTGATAACAAAACGTGTCGCTTCGTTCCTAGTATGTGTGCGTGTATGAGTGATTAAAGGGGGGGGAGTCCATTTTTTCCAATCCAGTGTTCGTCTCATTTGTTATTATTTATTTCGTGAATGATAGTGCATTTTTCTTTAACTGTTTTGTTATTCTATCTTTATAAGACGGAGTCAAGTTTCTAAACGATATCGATCCCAAAGAGTTTCAAAATTTTCATGTTCATTACTTAGGTATTCTTCACATATGACAGGATTATTCATTCCTCATTTTCTGTGGCTGATTTCATTACAGTAGCTTAATTCTCATAGGACCTTTTGGTGAAGTTTCTGGGATAACCATTTTTACGGAAGACAGACAGATGAAGTTCCCTAACTTTTCACCTAGTGAGAGTGCTGCAGTGGGTTTAGGCTTTTTCTTTTTTTGACTGTTAAGAAAAATAGTCACTGAAAAATTCTAGTTAATAACATGAAATATAATGTTCATTATCAATACGTTCAGTATTGATAGTATAATCATGTAACCTTAGTTTCCTCTATGTTAAGCTTTATCGTAGAATACCAAGTCATACCATACTCATCACTTGAGACTCGTTATTTGGCTCCTATTTCACGAACTATGCGCGACGATCAGTGTGAAAACCTTATAGGCGTATTTGTTTTCTCTGGTCTTGCCTTCGTAATCTTATGCATTTACAATCACTGAATTTATATCTTGTCAAATTCTTTTTAAAGTATTCTGTTATTCTTAATGCTAATGTCTAAGTGTTTTGCCTACCGTCAGAGATGCATATTTTACCGTTTAGTTTGTGAAGAATATGTAGTCCATTATCTCCTATTTACTAATTTGACGCACTCCAGAATATTGTTGGAAAAACCACTCGACATAATTTCAGCCCTTAAAAGCATATTCCTTTGACCAATCGCTTATATTTTCGTGGAGTAATTAAGTATGTTTTATTGATGGGTTTCAGACATGGAAGTTTCCCAGAAAAAAGATCCATGATTAGAATGAAATTTAGACAATTAGTTTTAAGTCAATGTTAATATAATTATTTTCGAAGCATATATTGATGTAAAGAGTACTGTTAGCATTTGATTTGATTGTCCTTGAAAATGTTTCGTATTTTTCCTTACAATATTGCGTGTCTGATTCAGAGGATTGGTAACAAAGATTTTATACACGTTGATAAGAATGTAAGATAAAAACCATCCTTTTATTTATGTACTATTTTTTCCGTAGTCAGCAATTTTTTGTAAGTGATTCACTATGTTTTTGTGAGTTTACACCATTGGTTATCCCTAGACATTTATTAACTAATGTGTGTTTATGATTCTTCGGTAACTTTTTAGGTGCTCTATCGGTGTGCTCTATCAGGAGCAAAGTCAACCGATGGATGCTCTTCAAGCATACTTTTGTGCTGTACAATTGGACAAATGTCATGTTGCAGCTTGGGCCAATCTGGGTACTTTATATGAAAGCATGCAACAATATAAAGAAGCCTTAAAATGTTACAAAAATGCTGTAAACGCTGATAAGCATAATGAGGTTAGCGTATGTTCTATTATCTAGTATTTTTAAATCTCATAGTTTCTTTTAAAGATCGAACATGTTTTTTTTAAAGCTTATATCATTGACATCATTTATTGAAAGCGTACATTTATTAATAATTGACTGACATTTACAGAGTGTCAGTGAAGTTTTCATGTGTGTTGTACTGCAGCCTAATGCTTTTCTCGTTAATTAACTAAGGACTAATGTGTATTCTAACGACACTTCAGAATAGCATTTGCAATACGACTTTCAAAATAAATATTGAGTGCTTCACTGTTAGATAATTTATTAGGATGGGTTTGGCATCAAGTATCATTTGTTGAGTTTCTCTCTCCAACTCTTAATAGATTTATTATCGATCTACCTTTAAGGACTGTCTTTTCGTGTGATAAATTCGCATAAATAAGTTTTCCTAATAAACAAAGATTGTCCTAGAATTTTAACTATGTATGGTTTTTCTTGAAGGCTTTCAAAAAATATAATGTTTATTTATACAGTTGACGAGTCTTTCAATTTTCATCTCATACCTTTAGAGTACAACGTAGCACTACCAGGTAACTGTATATTTACAGCAGTTCGAACAACAAATATTGCAACTACTGTTTTGACTTCTTTAATTGTATCAAAAGGGGTTTTGTGAAGATAGCAATAATTTCAATAGTTGAGATCATGAGTCAATTGAAGCTAGACCACCACATAAAACCTGGAAGCACTGGGTGAAACGGCTGCCCAGTGCTTCCAGGTTTTATGTGGTGGTCTAGCTTCAATTGACTCATGATCTCAACTATTGAAATCTCTTCAATTGTATTCATAAACTGATGTACTGTGATGGGTCAATTATGATTAAAATGTTTGCGAAAATCGAATTTTCTGATCCTTGTCAATTTATAGTTCGTAGTCTACTGTCATACTATCACAATACGAAGGAAAATTTGTCTATAGCCAAAAGTGTTTGTTTGATCCACTTAAATCGGGTATATTTTATGTTGATTACAGTTTATAGCAATAAGAACCCTATAGAGTTTGAATTCAGAAGTTCCCGTGTTATTTTAGTCACATATTCACATATTTTTTTCCGGAATATAATGGAATGAATTATATATATTATGAATTGTTAATTTAACTCAGTGGTCAGATGGAGGTTTATGCGATTGACCTTTAGCCACACGGTTTGTGCTAGGTTTAATGATACTATTTAGTTGCCTAAAACTGAAGTACCTGTGGCAGAGTTCAAACCCGTATGTCCCTACTGCAAAAGTACAGGTTTATCATAAATGACTTGAATTTTGTTTCTCGTAGAGGCTTAAACTAAATTAAATGTGAATTTACTACCAGTTACAGGATGTTTTCATGAATAACATTTGATAATGCAGTAATTCATTTGTATCGAAACGACTGATACTCCTTTCTCTTTTTTTAGGTTCGTCCAGAGATTCGTTCTCGTTTAGCTGTATTACAACAGTTAGTTCCAAAACTATCAGATAAAATAACAGGAAGCACCTTTATGGTCCGAACAACAATAGTGTAACATCTAACCAGGTCGGCAATGGTCCTGGTCCTGGTTGTGGTGGAATAACGAAGTTACCCACAGTAGATGAGGCATGGAGCCTGCCTATACCTGCTGAACTAACCCAGCGTCAACTTCAGTTAATGTTACAAGAGGCAGCTGCCAGTGATTCTGGGAGTGGTTCGTCTAAGCGTTCTGATAGGCATTTAGCTGGTCTTTTGTTAATCCCAACTCCCCAGTCAGTCCTTAGAAAACGTAGTAGTTGGCGCCAGTCTGGTTTCAACGGTATGATGTACTTTATTTTCGATACGATGTTTGATTATAGTTGTAGAAAACGATAACTTTTCAACTGCACTCTAATAAGCTGCTTTAAACTTACGAATAAATAAAAAAATATTATTACCTATATGCGTGGTTATTGAACTGTTTAATAATATAACCACTTTTCTGATTCGGTTCATAACTGAGTCATTATATATTTTAGAACAACTAAACGAATACATAGTTTGACTGTATTATGATTATATTTCTGTTGGGATCAAATATTTTTTTATCTGGTTTATGAGTTATAAGATTACGTAAATTCCGATGACGTTTTTATTTATTTGTTCGCTGTCAAAGAAAATTGTCCTACATTTTGTCATGGTAATAAATCCCAATGACTCGAAAGTACAATATTGATTGAAATTATCATATATTAATCTATTTAACAAAGTTTATTTGACTAAGAAGATCTCTAGTGATAAAATAAAACACTGTATCAAGATTAATGTTCAGAGTAACCAAAAATGTGGCTAGTTTCGGAGGAAATTCAAAAGTTATTTGATAGGTGAACAACGCTCTTATGAAGTTATGAATATAATTGTCAACTTGTGGTGTATGCTACTTATGTCGACGGACATAAGTAATATGTAACACCGATCGGAAGTGGAATGCCTGGCAGCAATGTGTTGAAAAGATCGGATTGAAGAGAGCAAGAATGTAGACGGAGAGTAATTGTAATAAAAACAGGAATGAAGGAGCGGTAAATTTTGTAAGAGACAATTGATGGAAGATGTGCAAATGAAATATTTAAAGCATGATTTTCGTATTATTATTATTATTATTATTATTATTATTATTATTATTATTATTATTATTATTATTAGCTTTATTCAATATTATATTTTTGGTACAATATAGAATTCTCAGCGCAAAGTATTTCAACAAGTTTCCGTTTCTTTCTTCTTGGCCGGTCCTGGCGATAAATATTAAGTGATCGCCAGTCAGATGTTAGCAGTTCAGTAAATGAACATCTGAATAATTTTCATTCTTTTCGTTGTATATTGCCAGCAACCACATTGTCTCTTATTGAGTTTTTTGTAACTTTGACAACGAAATGTTGTACACTTTTCAGAAACGCAGTGGAATAGTTTGTGCGGTTAAAAGACATAATGATATATTAAAACAAACAAAAATAGATAACTTGTTGAAATATCTAGATGACAGGAACAGGTAGCCCAGATGCTCAAGCAGGCCGCCCTTCTACAAAGACATTCTGTATTTTGTATTAAATAATAAATTGGTCCTCCCCATTTGACTTCTTTATCCACTACAAACTTTCTATTATTACGATAAAAGTTGGAAATACCAATTTGCACATCATTTTCACAGGATCCTGTAATTAGTTTTGAGTTTGTCTTTAAATTTACTGTAATTTTCACTGAAGACATCAGTTAGTCAGTCAGTAACAATGTAAAACTTCGTACGTACGTACATCAGTTCGAGTTGCCATATTACATCAGCACAGAGATGCAGTTGTTCATTCAAATCCCGTAGTGGTAGAGGTAGTAAGAGCATAAGCAGTAATCAGAAAGATTAGGGTTTGGAGATGTTATTCAAGGAATATAATCCAGCGAAACAAATTTGGAAACAGAACAAAAGGATATGAAGAATTCAGAAGATTAAAATTTGGGATAACACAAAGAGTCGATGCACTTGAGCCATTGCAAACGATTTTGAGCCATGTCATTCAGGGTCTCTAACCATCGGTTGCTATCGTCTCGCGGTCCCCAACCAGGTAGTCTACATCTACCAACATGACTCAGTCCACTTGTCAGTGACTTCATGGACTTGTGCCATGTTTTGGTCTGGCCACCCCTAGCTTTCTTCCAACCTACTCCTATACCACTGAACATCGCACGTCGAGGCAGTCGGTCGTTGGGCATACGTAACACGTGTCCAAGCCATCTCAACTGATAAAGTTTCACTACGTCATCAATTGATTTGCCAGCCTTATCTAGTACCCGTTTCCTAACAACTGCACTACTTACTCGATGGTCCCAGGATATACGAGCAATGTTTCGAAGACACCCATGATCGAATACTAGTTACCTACGAATATCCTCTACTCTTACCGGCCACGTTTCACTGCCATAAAGTAGGACGGAACGAACTGCTGCGCAGTAAATCCGTCCTTTGGTTGGTAGACGGATATCTCGCCTACGCCGTCAAGTTTTTGGTGCGTTAATGGGTAGGTTTCTTGTGTCATGTGGTTAACTTATATTCATTGCCTTTTTAGGTAACTTTCACTTTGAAAATGTTTTGAGATATTTATTTTGCTAAATCCATTCAGTATTTCGTACTGTGATACGTTTTGTTGTAGAATGTATTTCATGGACTATTGATTCAGTTTGTTGTCAGTTTTCATTCTACATTACTACTTTGTTTCATATTTTAGGTCCATGTGAAACTGAAGGAACTGATGAGTGTGGAGGGTCCAAAAGATCACGTCATAGTGATCCATCCTCTTCAACACCTGTCCAACCATTAAGCAATCAGCAACTTCAACTGTTACATTCCCTGCAAGTAAATTCATATATTTTTGAGGTGTTTTGGTTTATCATTATTATTTCGTCAACAAATTTCTTTTCCTCACTACAGTTTTCGTCAGAATATATGCGGGACTTTTTCAATCACTCATTTTTAAATGTGCTCTTAAAAAAGCCGATTGACTCTGGGTATTCTTAGATCTTTATTCCATCAAATAACAGTTTACGTTATTCATAATTATTTGGAAAGTTTACAGTTCAAAGTTCTTAAAAAATAAATATTTATAATTCTTTTTGTTTTGCATGTGTTATACTTCTCATCTTAATCGTAGTTAGCATGTTTAACAATCCCTTGATTGTTCTGCATGTTATTCTGCGTACTCACTTCTAGTTTGGTATGGTATAACAGCAAATCAGACTTTATGATTTTTGCAAATAATTAAGTATTTTTCTTATGAATTCTGGTTGATGTACCACGAAATGAATTTCAGAGAAAAATGTATTTGTTTTGTTTGTGTAACTCAGCAACCAAGTATAGTTTCATGCTTTAATGTAAAGTGGCTTGAAGTAGTCGGCAGGAAACAATGAACTCAAGTTTCATGCCAGTTGGGAATTGTCAGTAAGACGCACTGTTACTCATAGGTTTAAGAAACAAAACAGATTATGTTCTATGAATTTTGGCTCTGGATTTGGTTATTTTTAACTTGGTGAGAAATCACTCACAGTGAAATATTTAGATCCACTCTTAATCTTTTTCGATATCCGAATTTATTATCATTCCATCGTTTTCTTTGTTCGACCTCATTCTTTCGTCTTAAGACATATCTCTTATGTTTAGCTTCCCACTCCAGTGAATATCGCTGTTTTTTCTCCTTTGCTTCACAAAATTTTAATTATACTGATATGTAGAGTTGTAACATGGACAGTTATGTATTAGTGTCATGTCTAACTTAATCTGTCTTGAAATTCCTAGTTGAGAACATCAGTATGGAGCAATAATTTTTGTTGTAGTTTTCATTTTCGATCGATTACTGACAGTTTTTCTGAAAATCTGTTTCTGTCTCACATATAAACTACACCAACACAGCTTATTATTAAGAGAATTTGTTTTATGTGTATTATACATATACTTAACTCATGTTTCAGTCCGTTTCTTTTCTAATACTATACAGCGTGTTTTCAAAATGTGTGTAGAATTATAGTTCATGGAATGTACATAAATCTTGTATTGTAATATTTTAAAAACATCCAATGGTACATCGTGTTATAGTTTATTTGTGTATAGCTATTTTTATGCTATCATGAAAACAGAAGCATTAGCAATTCTTTCTTATGAACGTTCACATCGGATCAAATGTTTGTTTATCATTGGTAATCATAACTCTGTACGGAAAGATTTTACTTTGTACTGTTAATTATATCTTTTCTTTCTAATTTTAAGGCTCAGGGTAGTTGCCTAACTGCCTCACAACGTCAAACTCTTAATAATTTACAAAACCAATCATTGAGATATCATCATTACAAACTGATACAAAATCAGAAACAATTGAAAACATGTAAATCGGGCAGTGATTTTACCGATGAGGCAGTTTCAAATTCTGATTCGGCTGGACCATTTCACGGGGATACTACTGCTACGACAGGTAGTTCTAGTGCTGGTCGTAATCCATCCAATGTACCTGGTGCAGATACAGTAGATTTGTTTCCCACTGAGGATGATGATTTAACCGCTGTTGTTGATAGTCCTGGATCGGGTAATTTACCTGAAGAAGATTTAGGGTTCTTGACGGATGACCTGCTTGCTCAGTTAAACGGATCTGAAGCAGCTACTGGATTGGATCTTGTTGAGTTAGCTCTGTTTACTACGGGCTCTAGTTCTGGTGATCAGCGGCCTACAAGTAATAATGATAATAACCAGGTTTTAATAAATGAAAAGTCTTGTCAATCGAAATGTGGTGATTCTTCTACATCTGGTCCGGCTTCTTCAACTCCAACTAATCCACCAAAGACAATTAATTTAAACGCAGCCAAAAAAGATGAAATTGACATGAAAAATAGCTTAACTCAAGAACTTGGTATTGACCCCCTTATCAATTCTTCAGATAATCCATCTTCAGATCCTGTAGATTTGCATGCTTACTTAACCAAACCACTGAACCCACCGACTAGTATCACTGCAGCTCTGCATGTCAATATGTCTTCTTCGCAAGTGAGCTATGGCCACCATATTTATGTATTTAATCATTAACGTTTTTTGTTCATACATAAATATTAAACAGATGTCGGTATTTTATACTAATACAGACTGTTTATCAGTGTTGTTTTTGTTTTCAATTTTCTATCTACTTATTTTAATAGAAAACTCAACTGTAGGTATTATTTACTGCTTGTTTTAATATCTTTCATTGGTATCTGCTTCGTTATTTTAAACAATTATTTGAATAGCACTTGTACCGTTAGTTGATGAATAACTCAATTATTACAAATTCGGGCTCGATATATGTGAATATGTTTGGGAATCAAGGTCCTCATCTGTGAATTTAGCCCGAAATGTGAAAGTTTTCTCGGTTGCAGATGTGCTGTTTGAGCTCTGTGTTTAGTACTGTCGAGTCAGCACCTCAGAAATTTTGAATACTTCATCGGTGAGACTGTAATCTATGGACGAGTCAGTCAGAAGCAAGCTAGCGATTTCTAGATCACGGGCCCTATTTCAATACATAGTGCTCACATAGAATAGATTTACAGCGGATTTCAAGTAGGATGTTATAATTGAGCGGTTACAACAGAAGGGATTACTGAGAAGCTCGTTTATCTGCGACTGCCATGTTTAAATGGACTTCTGGACATTGTGCAAACTATCGCGACGATGTTTTATTCCGATGTAATATTTGTTGGAGGAAAAATCCTGCTAGAATGGGAACTTTTCACTCGATCCCGATTGACACTATGACAAGTTATGATGATTGTTGTAAACTGGATAATAAAATCACCAGTAACACTGGTTGCAACCTTTGCAGATGTTACTAAAGCTTCGGCAGTTCAGTGGTATGAGTACTGTCGAGATATATGTGCTATGAAAATAACAAGCTTGAATCAGTCGTTTGAAGGAATCGGCAGATCGTAGAAGTGGGCGAAGTAGTCATTAGAAAACACAAATTCAATAGAACAAGTGTTAAAGAAGACTGGGTCAGTAATATTCCTTAAGTACAATGAACACGTCTTTTGTATATATGATAGACCATTTCAAAAGTGACACTTTCAGGACAAATGAACTACAATAATGATACCAATTTTACGGGAGTATGTGCAGCCGGGTACCACAACAAACACGGGAGACTGGAGAGCATATCGATGCCTATCTCGACCTGGTTACGTGTATCGTGTCATCGTTCACAAGTGACATTTTGTAGACCCCACTGCGGGAGTACATACCAATATTATAGAAGCAGTGGGGTCGAGGCCAAAAGAATTTTTGCAATCTTATCATGGCTCCAAAGGTTGACTGCTATGGAGTTCCTATACTGTATGCATTACGATTTTAGGACTGTGGAGCCTCTTTCTAACCTTATAAAGTTTTTAAACTATGTTGAAGAAGTATATCCATTCTTCTATACCGACTCTTTACTGATTAGCTGAAATTTCTCAAGGCCACTTAAAGTTCGTTCAAAAGTCGTTTCTAGGTTACAGAATCGCCTATTTTTTTGATGAAACTAGATTGTTAAACCCTACACAAGGGGCATAACTTCATTCTTGTTACCTAATATCTGATCATTATTCACAGTTTACTGAATTCCACTCTCTCTATTCTAAAGCGTTATTTACTTGCCTAGCATTTTCAACTACACTTCCGAGTTAGAAATATCTTACAGTTCATACTTATAAATTAAAGTAGTTCACACCAATACGGCGTTTGATTTTCCTTGTGGACGTTACATTACAGAAATATGTTGTAGCTAATAAATCCTATTTGATTACGTCAGATCACTTTTACGGAAGTGTATTAATGAACAAATAATGTCATTCGTAACTATGCTAATAAGAATGCCTTAACGTCTTCGAAACTTACGGTAGTTATGATAGCAACAGCGCTTGAGAATAGAAAAAAGCTCACCTACCTAAGTGAATTTATTCTACTGAAATATAAGTAAACTTGGTAATTGCGTAAAAAGTATGTACAAATTAATAGAAACTTGTATAAAATTTACATATTAATTTATTGTACTCCAAATACTTTCATTGTTGATCCTCATTCTCTAATTAAGATGATGTTTATTTTAGATCTTGTCTTCGCTTCGTGGTCTTGGCCATTCAGGTGGACCTTGGTGGCCTGGCTTACTACCGGAAGGTAGTCCTATTCCGAAACCTCCTGCAAAACCGTATCCACCACCTCCTAAAGATAAGCTGCTGCCTCCCACACCAAGTGTTTATTTGGAAAATCGCAATGATGCTCATTCACCTGAATTAATGCGCTACTGTTTTACACAACCAGTAGTTGTAATACGTGGTTTGGCTGCTGCTTTGCGCCTGGATTTAGGTTTATTTTCTACTAAATCATTGGTTGAATCCAACCCAGAACATCGAGTTGAAGTAAGTCGGTAGCATTTATGTTAGTACTTATTGTAATTTAGCCGGTCAGTTTTGATTAATGAACTATGAACGTTGTCACTTTTGCTGAACTTTCTCAGAAAATAGCCTCATTTAATTTATTTCTAAGAAATTCTCTAAGAGACTAGTTTGTTTTTCTTTTTTCATTTGAAAACGTCCTTTTCTAACCGATTAATAATGATGTTCTTGTGTATTATGGCAATTTGTGTTGATCAGTTGTTGAGGTGAATTGTTAAGAATATGGGTTTTATTTAGGGTATTCTAATTAATTCCACTAGAAACAACTAACCCCTTTCCTATACTTGGGGTAACCAGTTTCTCAACTTCTTAGCTACAATATGTACGTTGAACATTAGCTCTTCGTTATTATTTGTATCAACAACTATTTATTGGTTTTTATCCACAGCTATAAAATACAAGACTCACGGACTTGTATGTCGAATTCTTAAAGTTTATTTAGATTGTTTAAATAAACATCTGGTGGTGTTTTCCTAAACTTATTATTTGTCATCAACATAGGGTTGTGGAGATAGTTGGGTTTTGATTGAGATTATGAGTGAGTAATGTTAGACCACCATTGAAAACCCGGAAGCACTGGAAGGTCTTTTCGTCCTAGTGTGCGACTTCTCAGCGGTGCACATCCACAATCCCGCACGCTGGATTATTTGTTGCCTTCAACTATCAAATAGTTACATATTTTTTTACCTGATAAATTCTTTCATAGTGGATTGATTTCAACAAAATACCAATTTTGAAGTCGGTTTGTTTGAAAGACATGATGCTATTCTGGCCAAAAACTCTACACCATTAGTTTTTAAGCATTTTAAATGGCAAATTACTTTTATTCACAAAGTGACTTTTAAGCTGATGCAATTTTATTTTGAATAGATATTGTTTTGACTTTTGAATAGATGATGCTCCCACTTTTTCCATTTGCACTGCTTATACATTTATATAAATATATCCAGGTACGAACCCAACGTCTTCAACCGCCTGACCAGAACCTTGATTCTCAAGGACGTACTGTATGGCTTTGTGAATCACCGAAAACTACCACAACAATTGCTAAATATGGTGCTTATCAAGCTGCTTCATTTATTGAAGCAATGAAAGAAGAGAAAATTGTGAATTTTTCCGGCACTGCGCCAGTTACTTCTACTCCAACTTCTAACACACTATCCGCCATATCTGTAGACACCAAATCATCTACTGGTAGCTTATCGAATGGTATGACAAGTGTAAAAGTTCTTAATTGATATAAATTATGTTTTTAAATAGAAACGGAACGCACGTTTTAATTTAAGCTCTCTTTATATCATCTGTGTCACAGGTTGAAGGTTCTATTCGTGTCAACTAATTGTTTATCTTGAAAAATCATACCATGGCTGTAGTACTTTATCAGTTGACAAGATTGAAGACCGAAATGTTGTGAAATAAAATGACACAATTGATAAAATATTCGTCGTAAGAATTTTCTCCGGTTTTATAATGAATTTCTCGATACATTCATTTCATGATACGTAATTGATCACTTTTGTAAGCATCTGAGCATCTGCTAGTTTTGTTTCGTTACCATAGTGCCGTTACAGATCACTGATAATAGTCGTAGAGTAAGAATTTATTTGAGTGTGCAGAGAAAATCCTCGTGAATTCTGTTGTTTGGTTTACTTATGTCTTTTTAGGTACAGACTGCGTTATACCTCAGAATGTGGTATAATAAAGTGGCCACATGACTATGAGGTATCATTAATATCGTAGTTAATCTCAATAACATGCTTAGGATCTTTAACGTTCAGTTTAAGTTTTTTTCTTGAAATTTTTTATGGTATATTATTGTAACCAATCTACTTTATTTGTTGTCTCTATTTCCCCTCGATTAGCTGTAACGGGAAGTGGACGAAAAAATTTTACTCATTGGTCTACCGAATCAACAAATTCAGAATTAAAGTAAGCGTTTTATTGATTTAATTTGATGCTTTTTCAATTATTTATCCGACTAATTTTGGATAAGCTGTAACGTATTGAACTTTGCTAACTCAAACTATATACATTAGAACGTTATGTGACATGTAGAATTTTGCTTGTGTTTTTTTAATATAACTTATTGTAATAAAGTTATTTATCTACGATAGTTGTATCGTTATTAAATCTTTTACTGCAACTAGTTAGGTTCGTATATTCTTCGTATTTTTAATGAAATGTAGGTTATAGAATATCAAGGAACTGTTTTCCCCCACATCTCTATAAGCGTTGTCATTTTTAAAAAAATTTATAATGAATTCTCTAGTAAACTGTAGTCAGTATATTTTCCATTTCACTTGAATATTTAGCGGTTGTATTTCATTGTATTTATTATTTTTTATTAATAGTTTATTTGACTGATCTTATGTCAGAAAACCAATATGTGACATAAAAAACAGTTACGATGTGAAATAAATAAATGAAAATATATTTCAGTGGTTGAGATCATGAGTCAATTGAAGCTAGACCACCATGGAAAACCTAGGAACACTGGACGGTCGTTTCGTCATATTGTGGGACTCCTCAGCAGTGCGCATCTACGATCCCGCCTCGCGAGATTCGAACCCAGGACCTGTCAGTCTCGCGCTCGAGCGCTTAACCACTAGACCACTGAGCCTGCATCCAACGGTGTTAACGTCTAACTTCAACCAATCCATGAAATTGAGCGACACATTTGATTAATAACTTATTTTTGTTCTACAGGTTGACCATTTGAGTACTTGTTATCTGTTGAATAATTTTTGTTAATAAAAGATTTACTTTTATCCTGTTTCTTTTTCTTACAAAATCTTACTAGTACAAATCAACCTCATCATGTGGGAAATAAAATATCTGGTGACGAAAATCACTCATTATCAAATCAACAGAATAATGGACGATTGAAATTAATACGTTTTGGAACAAATTGTGATCTTTCAGATCAGAAAAAGTGGTTACCTCAACTCCATGAACTTACTAAATTGCCTGTATTTGTTCGAGTTGTAAGCGCTTTCAGCATGCTTAGTCATGTAGGCTATCCACTTTTAGGATTGAATACTGTCCAACTTTATTTGAAAGTAAGAGATATTTTTCTTGATTCGTTAATATGCATGTAAAAGTGTAGTTCTATATAAAGACGAAAATATGTTTTCATGAAAGGTACTAAACATAACTCTGGTACAACAACAACAACAACAACAACAACAGCAATTTCTATTATTAATAAGATTAGTAATGATAATATTGAACACAATTCAAGCGAAAATAAGACTGAATTACATTGCATTTCAACCAAACTACTGCCTGGAAATAATATGCACAAAATCACGCCAGGTACAAGACTATTGATATTTCAAACAATTGAGTGCCATGATCTGTAGGACCCTATATGTGATTTATTGATGAGATAAACTGGTGTTGACTCAGAAACCGTCTTCTATTTCCGCAGCTTTTTCAAAAATTGACTAGTATACATGGTGTCTCTATAACAGACTATTTAGTTAAAACCAGGTTATTTGTTACTAGTTACTTGGATGCGATGAATTTGTTTTCTAGTATTTACCAGTTACAACTTCTGTTTTTTCTTACCCGGGATATACATCCACTAGATCTATGTAATCATGATATAATTGGACAGTTATATCTGGGTAAAACAGTGGTACGGAAACATTTTTGGTAAACGTCTCATGAACGTAAATCGTACGTCAGTCGGATTTGTGATCAGAAATAGTTGAACCTATTGTAATGTGTAGTGTTGGTTCTGATGGAGTTTTTTTCTCTGAGCTGGATGGTTTGGTCGTCGAGCTTTCATCGTTCTTCTGAACGACATCATCAGCACAAACTTCAGATGGAGATGAAGTGTTCGAATTTCTCCATAAACTTCACTTCTATCTGAAGTTTGTGCTGATGATGTCGTTCAGAAGAACGATGAAAGCTCCATGACCAAACCATCCAGCTCAGAGAACAAAACTCCATCAAAATCATCCACCTGAGCTACAAATCTTCTCCAGTGTTGGTTCTGTCTGAACCTGTTGTTCAATACCTTAATTTTAATGTATTGGATGCTTGTATACAAATGTATGTTGTTACGTACAAATCTCTTCAGATTGTGGAGTTCGTTATTTATTGATCATACACAAAATTAAAATAATGCTGATTATATGTAGAGATGGATGGTGCCTAGTAGCGAATCCACGACAGGCGTTTCGTCCTAGTCTGGACTCATCAACTGGATGTACCTGGATCCCAGAGTTAATGTTCACTCCATGATTAATTGTTTGGATCTTTCGTTCATGGTGTTGCCATTTTTCGCGTCTATTAATTTTTTGGAGAATGATTAACTTTCTAATTATCAAAAGATTTAAATCAGTAATCAATGTACTTATAGTCCAAATGCTTTTCAATCTTCAAAATGAAATATTATTTTTGAAACTCGTATCTTATAACTAAACTGCTCATGAGTAAATCGACTTTTTTCCTTTTCCTGTACTTTATCGGTTAAACTAACTGTTCATAAATTGTTTACTTATTCAATTGACACAATATAATTGGGCAGTAATTTGTGTAACTGGCTGCTTTGAGAACCGGTTGTCGTCGTTGAGTTTATAATCTTAAATTTGAGTTTTGAATCAGGTTAATAATTATTTAGCGTAGAGGCATTTGATTTTTATATATTTCCGTATATATCTGGGAAACTAAGACCCTCGTCCATAAATTATAGTCTCACCGCTACCAATTTCTTTACACATCAGGGTCCAATTACTGTTCCTCAATTTTGAGAGCTTGTTTTTCCCATTTAAAGTCACCAAACGGTTTTTTCATGGCAAAGGTGAAAAAATCGCGATCGTAAATTGAGTGGGTGAACTGCTTCTTACACTCAGCTGTATCATCGTCATGATGATGGTGGGGAAGGTGATTTAATCAATTTTTATTTTTACAGCTGAAATCTAAGCAAACGATTCTTTCTTCATCGCTTTAGGTCCCTGGTTCCCGTACTCCTGGTCATCAAGAAAATAATAATTTCTGTGCTGTTAATATTAATATTGGTCCAGGTGATTGTGAATGGTTTGCCGTACCGGAACAATATTGGGGAGCTATTCATAATTTATGTGAAAAGAATAATGTGAGTTTTAATTTCGTTTATTATTTACTAGAATTATCTTCAAGCTAAGGACAATATTTTGGATAAGTGTAGGAAATAGTCGTAAAAAACATTAGTTAATATTATGATCTGATGTGGATTAGAATAGAGGAGGTACAAAACTTTATATTTTTTAAATGTGTCTTTTCCAATCTTCTCCATTTACTGACATTCTTCATGACGATTTTAATCCCCCTATTTCTCTTGATTAACTATTTCTGTACTTCAACTAAAAAATAGTTTTAGGCTATGTTGGCAGGTTGTAAATTATACTTTTATTTGTTCTGTAAGTTGATTCAGCAAAATTTATGTAAGGTTGAAAATTTGTTTGTATTGGAAGATACTTATTAGAATTCTGTGTAGTTTATGGTCTTCATGATGATCTTTTACGAATTAAAACTTGTAAATCAATTTTTATTTTTCTTCACAAATCGCAGAATAGACTATATCATAAAAAGTATCCAAGTAATTGTATTAACTACGTGGCATTAAAAACACTGCTTATTTTTTATGTCTCATCTCTTTTTTATATCTCCTTCACTTAACTGTTTTAAGTAAGTCCATTTAAAGTGATGTACTATTTAATTGAAATCAATGGAGTTGAAGAAATTTTTACTCACTTTTATTTCTTTTATTCGGTCTATGTTAGCTTGATTATATGGTATAGTACTGATATAAGTTTTATCTTATCTGGAAATTGTACCTGTTGAATTATGGAATTGGCCTGTCATATCAATAATAATTTAAATTAATTTATTATTATTTTAAATTATACGTTCAGGTTGATTATCTAACTGGTTCTTGGTGGCCAGATCTAGAAACATTGTACAAGGAAGAGATACCAGTTTACAGGTTCATTCAACGACCTGGAGATTTAGTATGGATCAATGCAGGTACAGTTCATTGGGTACAAGCTATTGGTTGGTGTAACAATATAGCATGGAATGTTGGCTGTATGACTGCTCGACAATATCAACTTGCTGTTGAACGTTATGAATTCAACCGTTTACGTGGGGTTAAATCTGTTGTACCTATGACACATCTTAGTTGGCAGTTGGCTAAAAATATAAAAATATCAGATCCAGGATTGTTTGAATTAATCAAGTAATTATCTTTACTATTAATCTTTTTGTACGTTAATATTCTATGCTTTATTTAATTAAAGAAACTGAGTATTTTCTTCATGTTAGTGATGTAGGTTCAATGCATGACGTCTTTTTTTAAGGAAGTTATAGAAATAATGAAGCTTCAGCTAACATTAAACTAAATTTATCAAGAGAAAACTTAATCCTTTAAATTACTTTTTCCTCATTTTTGAAGTTTATTAGTCCATTGTGAGCATTAATGAAAGATTGATTATGCACAGTCTATATTTCTATCTTATTGCCTTTTTTAATGAGGATCAACGGAGTAATTTCTTTGATTTACAAATATAGCCTCATTAAAATAAAGTACGTTTAAAAGTTGTTAAATCATATTCACCAGGACATAAACGTAGAATTTTAAAACTTCCAAACAATACAATAAACAGCCACTAGCAACTGTAATAAAATATTAACTTGAAACTGAACTCGACCGTGGAAAAAGTATAAGAATCAATAAGATGCTTACAAAACAATAAGATAATTCTACCCATCTCAGTATTTCGAGGGGATAGATCTGTGTTGCTTAAATTGATTGTGATCTGTCTGTAATGTGGTCTCTACTGTCTTGTAAATAGCAGCCAAGTTTCATACATGTTAAGTTTAGTGAATCGCCCTGTACATTTTTAGTGCACCTTACTTTGATAGGTTTTTCAATTCACATATATACGCTAACTAAATTGGCACATCTACATTTTTTAAATATTAATTCTCCTACTTTCAGGCACACATTACTTCGTAGTCTTATTCAATCTCAGTTGACTACTGATTTCCTGGAGAAGATGAATTTAACTGTTAAACATCACGGGAAAAGACCTGATGATATTGCTCATTCCTGTCATGATTGTGAGGTTAGCGAAATTGTATTTAATTTATTACTCTATACTATTTTGCTAAATATAAAGTGTTTAGAAAAGTGAATAGATTAATTTGTTTCTTACCAAATTACTAGAGCAGTTAATATAGTAATTTAATAAAAAATAGATATTTCTGTACACTTTGTATTAAAAGAATTAAGTAATAGGTGTTTTTATTCACAAATAGAATACTTCTGTTTATGTAATTATTGTTTGTGAAAGTTAAATATAATTCAAATTAAGGGTTTCCAGTTTGATCGGATTGTTTCAAATTGTCATCTTTCATCATTCATTTCTACAATGTAGTTCATCATTCAATAATTATAGTTCACATTGAATTTTTGTTGTTGGTTAATTAATACGTGATATAGTGAAAAACTTGTCTTCTAAAGATTATTTTGTCTAACAAATTACTACTATTACATCATAATCCGGAATTAAAAATTTATTCTTTACATTTTCATAAATTCAATGGAATTTTGTCCACTTATTTTATTTCATTCCATTCAGTTTACTTATCCATTGTTTTGTTGTGTTATACACTTAATACAAAATTGCATAAAAATATTCGTTTCTACAAACTAATTACAATTTAGCCTATGACTTCAGGTTATTTCAAAGACAATTTATCACTAACAGATTGTAGAGTTAAAGCTCACTCTTCAAGTTTTCCTACAAAACTGTTTATAGAAACTGTACTAAATGTGCTTTATGCACAAATTGTATTAGTTAAACATTAACTAATTATTTTCTCAAGATAATATTTGTTAGCTTAAAGGTTTTGTTTTGTTTTTATAATGAAAACCATCAAGGCTTCTCATGTCATTAGCTTATACGATTGCCGAATTTAGATACACGGACTTATATGACCAAGAAATGAGTCCCGAATAACCCTTTTCCATGCCTGTTAAGTCCAGAACATCAATCTCAGTCTCCATGATATGAATCATATGTATCAAATATACTGAGTTTATATACTAGCCAAGCGAGCCACATCACACCATAAAATAGCAAATCACATTTGTACAAGATCTAACCAAAAGTGACTGTGTTTGTGGGAGACTGTAATTAATAGATTGAGCATAACTTAAGAATGGTAAATCTTATAATAATAATCTATAGATCAAAATAAAGCTTATAATAAGAGGAGTATAAATATACACAGTTTAATTACTTAACAATTATACGATAAGAATATCTGTATAATATTCACAAATAGATCCCAACAGTTACCATTCATTATTCTCGTCGGGATATAACAAAGTTAACTTACATATTTTTTTTTAATGTTTAAGTTATAATTCTTTTAATGAATCCGAAAACAATGTTCAGTACTTGACTGTCATCCTCTTAATGGTTCAATATTTCTTGTTTAAATGTATACACTCGGATTATGTAAATAATTAATTTTATTTCAATGGACCCTACCGAATGTTAATTAAGTTTCTTCTTTCATTTACTCATAAACGTTCAAATGAGAACATAAAAAGTATTGAATTATTCGAATAAAAAAAACAATTTAATTTTTTATAATAATTTCTCTTTTTTTTTCTTCTAAAATCTCCTTCACAAATTATATGTAACTAATTTATTAATTAATGAATTAGAATGATTTTGATATTTACCTGTTATAATTACTTTAAACTAGATTGACATTAGATTTATTGGTATTTGTATTATTGTTGTTTTCTTTCAGATTGAAGTATTCAATATTTTATTTGTTTTATCTCAAGATAAAAAATTGGTTGTTAGATGTTTAGATTGTGCACGTCGTATGGATTCTACTTTAAAAACATTCATTATCTTATCTGAGTATTATATTCATGAACTGGCTGAAATTTTTGATAAATTTCAACTTCAAACTGTAAGTTTTATTTGCTTCTACTGATTATTATTCTTATTACATATTAGATAATCTGTAAATAATTTAGTAAAATGTCTACTCCCTAACTGTATTATGACTTTTACCCCTGTCAATCACTATGCGATGAAATTGCCAATCAGGATACCGATTTATATAAACTTGTTCTTGTGCTGAACTAATGCCACGGTAAAACAGCACTAACAGCCTTGTTTAACTCTGATTCCTTATTTGTTTTTCTAGCCTAGCCCTGCCCGTTTGAGTCCGAAACAGAATATCAGCTTCCACTGTATGAATCATATATTTCAGACATATGTAGTCTATGTACAAACAAACCAGGTCGCATCATATACCATCAGATAAAAATTATGCAAGATCAAGCCAAAAGTGGCTGTGAGTTTGAGAGACTGTAATTAATAGATTAAGAATAGTAAATCGTATAATAATAGCCAATGGACCGATATATACATACAGTCTATGAAGTTCCCGGAAGTTACACATAATTTAATCTTCTTGGCAAATAACAAACCTGTTTTTTTGTGATTTTCATCTTTTTTTCTCTTTTTTTACATCGTTACAGCAACCTATCACAGCTTATCCAGTGGGAAAAACTTGATCTACTTACATTATTGTGAATCGATATATACAACAAAATACATAATGTTATTACTGGATAGTTATGGAGCAGCACATTTTCACTTTTGTGTATTATACACCACCACAATGAGATATACACGTTTACACATTTTTCATTGTTATTAATTGTTGAAATATTGTATTGAAAATTCTCTATTGTAATTAATTTGTATAATATGAAAAATTAGAAATTAACCATTGAAGTAATCAATTCTTTAATGTATTTTCATTTGGTTAATTTCTTTAATTCCTTAAATATTCCTTTGTAATTTGTAAAATTTTACTACTACTTCCAAAAAAACAAACAACAAATCAATCCACTTGTTTAACATTATATTACACGTTAAAATTTGTTTTACCGTTAGCTGTATAATGACTATTCAACTATTTCACTTTGCATCATTTATTTTTAAATAAATAAATTATAATAAAAAAAAACAGTTTACAGTACAGAAAAATTTCTTCTTGTTTTAAAATACCGATATTCATTACTCAAAGTTCATTGATACGTTGGTTAAGATCATGCAAAATATTTAAGGAAAGATCAAACCGCACTAACGCCGGTTTAAATTCTGGCAGCGACATTTTATTTGTGTTTCCTCAAATGCCCTAGTACGGCCGAGAATGGGGAGAGTCAGCTGTCACTCATGAAATTCTGCCACATGCATACAACAACTGTCAGGAAAGTCCTACTCACTGCCTTCTCGCAGCGTTACTGTTGTTTACGAAAGTAAGGACGAAAAGCGGATGTCTGGCGTTTTAACCGGGTTCGTGGATACGGGGGATCCACCTAGGGGAATTTGGAAACCCTGGTTACAAACCAATGGTGTACATGGACTTCAGGATCCTGAAGGAAACAAATGGCGTATGAACCAATCGTTGTTCACCGGCTACCATGGGACTGCATCTCCTGACGTTGTTCCGTCACATTTAGGTCATAGGCTCGAGGTGTGGCCCCCTAAGAAAACCATCTGCTTCGGTTGGGGCAGTATCCCAGCCCTCATATAAATCAAATGACTTATGTGGCGCATATCTCTTTAGTTCCTCCTTTTACAAATATTTCTCTTTAAATAAATAAACGTGAACTAACTTATCGTACAAAACCCACAAACTTAATTCAATGATTTTAAAGATTATTGCATTAGTTTAAAAAATTTATTAAAAGGTGCGTTAGTCTTGAATTAATCATGAAATATTAACTTCATACAAAATAAACCTTTTCAAGTCTATACATATTATACATAGGTAAATTACTGCTGTACGGTTAAAAATAAAGTATTCACATCTCTAGTTACGATCATTAGAATTGCTCATGTAATATTAATACACTTACTGTTCATTATACAGAATCACTTGGTAATCTTTAACTTCGGCTACAATAAAATATAACAGTGTAACAAAACTAAGCTCTCAAAACAATAGTTAGTAAAAACATTTGTTCAGTGATTATAAAATAAACTATTCAATTTCTATTTATCATTTGTAAGTGATCAGAGTAAATCTCGTTTCTAACTATATAGCTGTTCCATGCATATCACAAAGCACTTCACATTGAAAATATCACTCAATGGTACACTACACGTTTCTTGTATATATTACGAGAGTCAGCTTGTTTGCACAGAAATGTTGATTAGTTTGTCGAATAACTAATTGCATTCAATTGCAAACGACACATGATAAGTGTGCATTTCACGATCATAATCATAATTGTGATGATTACACTGATATGCAAATTGCATGGATTTTCACACGAAAAGTAAAACAATTATCTGAGTGATGTGTGTGAATGCTCTCAACAGTAGTAAATCATGTCAGAGATCTGTTCTAAAATGCATGTGATCGACAAAGTGTCTAGCAATCATCTAGACGATGTGAGGAGATTGTTTCAATCGAGTGAATAACGTTTCACAGATGGAAATCAGATAGAGAAGTAAGGAAATAAGGGAGTAATGTAGAATGACTTTATTGAACTGTGGCATTCTTCAACAGTACACACACACACACACGAAGATTGTGTTTATCAACGAGGATAACATAGTGGAACTAAATAGTTCCCAACTATCGTCCAATTACAAGTGCAAGTGCAGGTGCAGGTTCATTCACGTGTTTCAGTTTGATGGAAATAGTCGAAACAGTTGAGAAACTATCAGATAATCAGAAATACTATATTGAGAGCTCTTATCACTGAACCAATGAGATAGCACGAAATCGAGTTCCCACCGTTTCAATCGTCTGATACTAAACATCGATGGATTTCAGTAATTAGTGAGTGTAATGTAGAATGTCAACTGCCAGGCTTTGAGTTCAGTTGAGTTTATTTCAATCCGATAGTTCGAAGCACAGTCTTCTGCTCTACCGATTATTAATCAGATGGTCTACACACAAGATTATGTGTGAGGAAATCACGATGACAACATGGTTGCATTCACACTTTCAATTAATTGAATCACAATCCCACTAACATGAACTGTTTCGTGTTTGAGAGTAGTGCAACTCACATCTCACAGTGACTTTGGTTAAGAAGACAGTCAGTTATAGGAACGAGCTTTCCAATTTTTCACGAGCAAATGAACCTACACATTCTAACTACTGTTACACAAAATACTGTTTTGTCGAGTCTTCTTATCAAATGTTAGATGTAAATTTGTAAACAGTGTGACAAATAATTAGGGCAAAACAAATCAGATTCTACCTAATTTTGTTTAATGTTTTACATGAAACGACACAATTAATTGACCCTATAATTGTTTTAATGACACCCTAAATTGACTATTGATTGCATCTTATGTCTGGTTGTTTAATTGTATATAGAATTTTCTTCTCGCTAATCATTTCTGTGTAATTTTTTCATAAGGTTTATTCAGTCTACTTGTGTGTTTTGTAGCTCGTCAAACTGTTTCGGATTTTAAGTTGATAGCATTATCCTCATATTTTTTGTTGTTGATGATATTTTATATTAACAAACAATAGATGTTGTTGTTGGTTTATAATCAGGCTAACTCGGTACCGCCATAATAACTAGTTATAATGTAGTCACAATATATAGTTTACTTTTTCTAGAAATACGAAGAAGTTATTGAGTATTTCTCATTAAAAATGGGAAAAGTTTATGTTTATTGTTCAAAACCCTTTCAGTATTGAAATGCTATTCACGATCTATATTTATTAGATTAATTAAATAACCTGTTAAATAATGAATTATTTTGTTAAAATAGAACTAGGTCAGTGGTATTGTGTACGTATCGTTGTTAATCGTGGAAAAAATAGTTGTCCGTCAAACAATTTAACTGTTTCTTTTATCGGTTGCTCATTTGAATGGCATATTCATTTCTTATTGAAACGCTGTATATTGTTTCCACAATTTTTTTATTTTGTTTTTACAATGAATTTATTTAGTTAAATGTGTCTATCAACTTTTCTTTTATGTTGAATATGCAAGACCAAACTATAGATCTTATATTTATCCTACTATGAATTTAGGAAATCACACTCGTAATGCCTAAATATGTCATTGTTTGTGTCTATTTAGGTTCAAATGACTGATGATCTTTGCCAATGTATTCAAGAATGCTTTTCTAGTTTATATTCAGGAGTTAATAAAGTGCACTATCAATTAGTGCTATCTCAGATGTAGCTCTCAGTTGGACACCAACGTCAGCAAAACCAGTTGATGCCACAGGGTCTTCGAACAAACGCACGTGAAACAGGCTTCCCAAAGTGACTGATGTAAAACAAATTCGTAGTAACTTAATGAATTCCTTTAAGGATGCTTGGGATAGACAACATACATCGAAACCAAACTTTTAAAGATATAGTCAACCTTATATGTTGTCCAATTTTCATCACCGTGCAAACGTTTAGGAAGCCAGTTTGAAAAGCCTATGTGGTTTCCGAAAGGCTGATCTCAAATTCCTATCCGATGGTAGCATTCAACTTTCGACCGATCAGTAAATTTAGGACGTTTAGTCGACCTTCTGTATGAGTTGGAAAGTTAATTATTATACAAGTGGGAGAGAAAACGAATAGACAGGTGACGTACTGCAAGATATAAACTGACGTTATCAAGTTATTGTAAATATAATTTGTGAGGGTGCAGATTGAAGCGACAGTAACTTTTTTCATTTATCATCATTTTTCGATTTGTGTGTGGGCTGAGATACCACCTGGATTCCTGGAGTGAGGTAGGCAGTTTTCTTAGGGAGCCACTTCAGAGCCTTTAACCTAGAGATATAATCCACAAGAGAGTGGAGCAACGTTAGGGCACGCGATCCCACGGTAGCCGATGACCAAGAATAGGTTTAGGTGCCATCTGTCCCCTTAGGATCTTGGGACCCATATACACTACAGGTTTGCAATCAAGGTTTTCCAACCCTTCCGGTGGACCTTCCGAACCCCCAACCCAGTTTAAGAACCAAATATTTGCTTTCCATTCTCTCAACTTTGCAATTAACACCGCCACAAGAAACCAGTGAGTACAACTTCCTTAGCAGTTGGTATATATGTATATATATGTGGTCGTATTAAAGAATTTCTAGAGGGAGAGTGGAATCTTCGCAATTTCCGCCGTACCTTGGCAGCTTGAAGCTACAGAAGTGTTTGTATACATTTTTCTAAATATAAAAGTACAGCAATATGTACTTAGTTAAATATTTGCGGCCATTAACATTCATAATGATTAATATTTTCATTACTCGTTAAAGATTACTTTTCATCATAACCTGCGAGGTGTTTCTAGACTGTTCGTAATCGATGTTTTCTTGAAAATGTCATCAGTCAAGGGATAATTTTTGTCTATATGACTTACGATTACTAAACAGTTAATGTATTTAATTCATCTTAGATGATCTACTTCTTTGCACGGTTTGATGACTTTGCTTTCATATTAAATTACTTGTAAAAAGAAGATGGAAATGGATAGGACATACATCACGGAAATCACCAAACTGAATCACGAGGCAAGCCCTAACTTGGAATTCTGAAGATACATGGAAAAGAGAAAGGCCAAAGAAAACATTACGTCGGGAAATAGAAGCAGATATGTAAAAGATGAATAACAACTGGAAAGGATTGACCAGGACGGAGTTGGAAGCAGAGTGATGGTGGGCGGTCTATGCTCCTTCACGAGGATTAACAGGCGTAAGGAAGTGAGTAAAGGGTTCCAAATACAAAAGTTAATTTAAGCATCACACTTCATTAGAGCAGAAAAATGTGGTATAATCTATTTCATTTCACACTGTAGCTAAATAAAAATGAATATAGGTTTTTATATGTAATTAATTGATCAGTAATATAATTTTATAAATAACTATTGTTAGTTAAAAACTATTAAGAATAGTAAAATGGTGAAAACCAATTTATTTGCACCGTATAATTATTTTAATCGCTATCGCATGTCTATAAAATTCTTTTTCGGCAATGAAATAGTTTGAAAATCCCCAGAATCAATCTTATGAAAATAAATCAAAGTTGAAATATTTGGCGACGAAATACTTACATATCTAAAATGTATATTATTCGTATCCGTGTTTCAGCAAATGTGATATTATTATAGATGCTCAAGGAAGTGTAACATTCACGGTTTTACTAAGAAGAATGTTTTTAGAGTTATTTTCATAGTTGAATGATACTACTTTATTATGATAATTAAGTTTTTATGGTACCAATAGTAACATCGAGGCAAAACGCACTTTATATGAGACTAGTTTGGATGTTTTTTTTGGATCAAATCGTTGAAAATACAAGTGAGATAAAGTTTTGTGGATATTTATTATAATGTAAATTAATTTCAGTCGATTGACAGAATTCTACACGGAGTTTTTTAGTTTCTTTGTTTAGGTAAAACTTTGTTTATATTTTAAAAATCCTGAATTTACTTCAGAATTTATTTATAATGTTTAACCAGAAATTCTGGTTATATAAATATTAACGCCATTCTCCTGTGGTTATATAGGGAATTAATTTCATCAATAAATGACAAAACTAAATGAAAACATATAAACTATCGAATCTAATCTTTCAGTAGGCGTAAGGACAGCATAAAATGGATATAAACAGTAGGAATATTCTGTTACTTATGAGGAGCTGTACACTAACATAAAGATTACTCATTTTATATAAACACTGGTCACCATTTTCAGATGAATCGATCACCAAGTTCTCCTGAATTTCTAACTTCAAAAGAAGAAAAATGCAGGTCATTTTACATGCTACTTATCTAAATCTGATCTCAACATTATTGAATTACAACAATCTCCTAAATATTCTTCATTAAAAGGTTAAAAAAATCTGTTTTGCAAGACAAGCTAACAATCCATCATTATTTATAAATCCTGATAAATTTCATAATATAAATAAAGTAATTAAAATGACATTCTAATAAGGTTATTAACATTTTGATTGGAGATTGTACTACTACAAATTATTAATTATATACATGTTTGTCCTTGAACTGCCATAGTGCAATAATTCTAAGCGTATTGCTTGGATATGAATGATACTAATGACTGATTTATACATATGTATCAAGTAAAATTCACTTTACTGACATTGATTTTGACCAGATAACTAATGTGACTTATCATATTCAGCAAATTAATGAGAGTAATTTGCTTGTTATATGGTATCTCTAATCATAACTACATTTTGATAGTCTAAGGAAGCTAGTAATCGTATAAAAAGTTTAAGTTACATTATTTAACACCTCAAACGTGTTAGTTGATGGTAAACTATTCTAACAAATGATCAAGTATAAAACACTTCCTAAACATTTCAAATATTAAAATTCTTTTTGTTGAACCAAACATTATATTAAAATAACACATGTAGATCTTACTTTTCATCGTTCTTAGTGAATATATAGCTTTTTGTTGAAAAAGAGAAACCACTTATATGTATACCTGTTCTGATCATCCAGAGAAACTTTATTCTTCCTTTATAATGTTTCATTATTTTCTTCCATTTTTTGGTTTTTGAAATACGCTTCTTTTTCGTCACTGAGTTATCCTTCACGATAGAACTGTCGTCGTAATTTTAACAGTTCTCTTGTTACAAAAAATATATGTACAATACTTATTAATCCAACTAGTATGCAGATCATTGTGATTGGATAATAAAAAACATTTAATTTACCACACTTAATTGTAAAAGCAATTGCAATCAGTGGCATAACTATGCCAAATAATAAGTCACACATTACACAAAATAACATTAATGATGCTGATGGAACTGATTCATAATGATATAATCCCATAGCAAGAGTACCAATTAATAGAAAACCTGCAGAACACCATAAACCAACACAGTAGCATTGTATACGATATGTATAAATTATATAACCAACTTCGATGGTTGAACAACATAATCCCATTATTAACAATAATAAACCTGTTATCATGGTAAAGAAATCCCATCTATCTCCATCATCACACCAATATTTACTGCATAGATCTTCATTTTCTGAAATCGGTTCACTTTCTACTATTTTTGTTTTTGGCATTATTTAACTTCCCCTTTGATAAATAGAATCTATTTGGATAAAAATTTCACAGTTTTTAACAGAAAATGTTTCGCTTTAGAAGTGAGATTTAATGCTCGCTCTATTGATGTGAAAAAATGTATTTGAAATGAATGTTTATTTTCTCCTATACAAAAATTGAAAATTCAGTGTTCATAGATTATAAGGTACTTTATAATCAGCTCTAACATACAATTGTACAATAATAATTTTCATATGGTTCTTCTTTTAGTAATATATATATAAGTAATAGTATTTTGCATCTAATAAATAGTAGTATGTGATTGGTTGATCAGTCCTCTTTAATTTTTGTTTATCACCACTTAAAACATAAATTCGAGTAACCTTGATAATCTAAATATAAGATTGTCTTAATGAGTTGCATTTCAATTTTACCAGTAAGTTACATCTTTAGGTGTACTTATATTATGTAATTTGTGTAAGTTTTATAATTAAGATCAGATTAATGCAATTGACAAGTTGAGTTAATTATTTATCGATGTATTAATAAACAAATAGAATATCAGAAGAAATTTTGTGGATATTATAGTAATTTTAATAGTTAAAATCATGAGTCAATTGAAGCTAGACCACCATGGAAAACCTGGAAGCCATGGGCGGCCGTTTCGTCCTATTGTGGGACTCCTCAACAGTAGGCATCCACGATCCCACCTCGCGAGATTCGAACCCAGGATGAGATGACCATTCAGTGCTTCCAGGTTTTCCATGGTGGTCTGGCTTCAATTGACTCATGATCTCAACTATTAAAATAGAATTTCATTTTCATTTCTATAAATGTATGGCTATTATGTTTGTATCGACTGACAGATGGATTGTATGTAATTGCTTTGTATTTATTGAATAATATTTATTTAATTATGTTCTCTGTCATCTACTTTCTTCAAACACTGATATATATATTCGTGAATACTACATCAGTTTTGAACGAATTTGAAAACTTCTACTTCTTCACTTACAATACATTAAGTTTTTCTTAAAAAGAAAATTTGATTGTTTAGATCTTTGAAGTGTTGACATTTAATTCTCAGTTTATCTCTTTTGCTGAATACATCTAATTAATTAAATTTGAGTATATTTTATACACTGAAATATGATATACATTTTAGCATGAAGATCTACATATCTGTCTATAAAATTTCATTATACATAGATTTTACTGAAAACAAACATTTTGTTTTATGAGTCAGTTAAAGCTAGTCCAACAGGTTTTCTATCGTGATCTAGCCTCAATTGACTCATGAATTCAACTAATAAATTACTATCATATCCACAAAATCCTTCTCTGATTTTACTTTATTCCAACAAAAAATAAATCATCTTAATAAAAATCATTGGATATTCTGCAAATAATGTTAATGATGTTTGTTAATTTTCAAATAATCAAGAGACCTATGTACACTCTATTTGAGCAATGTGTACACTTGAAAGATGTATTATCAAAGTTATGTATCATCTTATTTTCTTGTTATAAATATGGGATTTATGCCAATCTAATCACTAGTAAGACACAACGTTACAAGTATATTACTGTTATAACATTAAATGAAAATTTTTTCATAGATTGACCATGTCAATGGGATTTCACCAAACATGAAAGTTACCTAACGGAAATGAAAAGGACGCTTTGTATAATAAATTATTGTGTTTATCTGAAACGATATGTGTATTGATTTTACAGGAGTGCACAGGTAAATTACATAAGACATTTTATAACTCATAGTATTATCAAGTTCCAAATGAATTACTTAACGGGAAGCAGTTTACAGGTAAATAAATGATTTATTCTTTCGGGTGATGATAATGCAATTAGTTTAAAACAGTTAGTTGATTTCACTTGGAGATTAAATCGAATACTCTTTGAAGAGTTGGTTAAAAATTTATATTTTAGTGTGAGAAGGATTGATAAACTTTATAAGTATATATCACTGGCAAATGAATTTCCGATTAGCTTTCCATGAGATAAAAATGACATCGAAACCCTATCACTTAAGGATGAGTTATTATGTGTTTACTTACATACACCAAAGCCTGTTTGCTAAATTGGTGGAATATGAATCTGATCTAAATTATAATAAAATTAGAAGTGGTAATAGAAATTTATTCCACTGGTTGACATACACAAAATCTGTGAATGCTAAGCATATATTCTTAAGTTTACATTAGACTCATCAGCGAATTTCCAACAAGTGGATAATAGTAACGGCAAACCATACGACGATGTCAATAAACAGAAACTTAAAACAAATAAACTCAACTGACAAATAATCGGAATTAGGCGTATTACAGTACCTTTTGGAAATGATTAGCGAGAAGAAAATTCTACATACAATTAAACAACCAGACATAAGATGCAATCAATAGTCAATTTAGGGTGTCATTAAAACAATTATAGGGTCAATTAATTGTGTCGTTTCATGTAAAACATTAAACAAAATTAGGTAGAATCTGATTTGTTTTGCCCTAATTATTTGTCACACTGTTTACAAATTTACATCTAACATTTGATAAGAAGACTCGACAAAACAGTATTTTGTGTAACAGTAGTTAGAATGTGTAGGTTCATTTGCTCGTGAAAAATTGGAAAGCTCGTTCCTATAACTGACTGTCTTCTTAACCAAAGTCACTGTGAGATGTGAGTTGCACTACTCTCAAACACGAAACAGTTCATGTTAGTGGGATTGTGATTCAATTAATTGAAAGTGTGAATGCAACCATGTTGTCATCGTGATTTCCTCACACATAATCTTGTGTGTAGACCATCTGATTAATAATCGGTAGAGCAGAAGACTGTGCTTCGAACTATCGGATTGAAATAAACTCAACTGAACTCAAAGCCTGGCAGTTGACATTCTACATTACACTCACTAATTACTGAAATCCATCGATGTTTAGTATCAGACGATTGAAACGGTGGGAACTCGATTTCGTGCTATCTCATTGGTTCAGTGATAAGAGCTCTCAATATAGTATTTCTTATTATCTGATAGTTTCTCAACTGTTTCGACTATTTCCATCAAACTGAAACATGTGAATGAACCTGCACCTGCACTTGCACTTGTAATTGGACGATAGTTGGGAACTATTTAGTTCCACTATGTTATCCTCGTTGATAAACACAATCTTCGTGTGTGTGTGTGTGTGTGTACTGTTGAAGAATGCCACAGTTCAATAAAGTCATTCTACATTACTCCCTTATTTCCTTACTTCTCTATCTGATTTCCATCTGTGAAACGTTATTCACTCGATTGAAACAATCTCCTCAAATCGTCTAGATGATTGCTAGACACTTTGTCGATCACATGCATTTTAGAACAGATCTCTGACATGATTTACTACTGTTGAGAGCATTCACACACATCACTCAGATAATTGTTTTACTTTTCGTGTGAAAATCCATGCAATTTGCATATCAGTGTAATCATCACAATTATGATCGTGAAAAGCACACTTATCATGTGTCGTTTGCAATTGAATGCAATTAGTTATTCGACAAACTAATCAACATTTCTGTGCAAACAATCTGACTCTCGTAATATATACAAGAAACGTGTAGTGTACCATTGAGTGATATTTTCAATGTGAAGTGCTTTGTGATATGCATGGAACAGCTATATAGTTAGAAACGAGATTTACTCTGATCACTTACAAATGATAAACAGAAATTGAATAGTTTATTTTATAATCACTGAACAAATGTTTTTACTAACTATTGTTTTGAGAGTGTAGTTAGGTGACTCAACGAATTAGTAGTTTCGATGCTTGTTTTGTAACATTTTACTAATTTTTTTTAGATGATATATTGTATGATATCCTAAATTTTTTTCATACAAGGCTTTATATGTTATTTGTACTGTTATTCTGGTGAGACTAATTTATGGAGAACCTTTGAGCGACACTAACGTGACCTTAAGTGTGTCCACCCAATAACCATGATCAAATAATGGTTATAAACCAGTTTGAGAAATTAGAGTTGTGATTTACAGTTGATGGTTAAGGTTATGAATTTGACTTATGGTTTTATCACGAACTAACATCAGCTATAATGCAAAAACTCTATGTAACCAAATGGATGAGTGAATTTAGCGCTAAAATCCGTAACCTGTTATTTTATACATGATTCGTTCGTCCACAAATTATAGTCTCGCCGCATATCATCATTAATAATATTTAGGAGATAAGTTTTTCGATAAAACCTGTATTTGTGTGATTATGTGATGAGTTTTCCAAATAATGATTCATTTGTTTATTATCAATCACTCGATCACGTAGAATGTAATACTTTCAAATGTTCTCACGAATTTTTGTATCACCCGTCCCTACTAGGATACAAATGAATAATTCGCGTGTATTACTGGATGTTATGCGAAATTCAACGGCTTTTATTTTTCATATTTCTTTCTCCATGTGGTTAATTCTTGGACACTGACCAAATCGCTATACTAAGAATCATTTTTAAGCAATATTTGGATTGGATTCGTCACTCTACACCAACTTCCTTGACTATGACAAAGCGTTTGACGGTGTGAATTGGAGAACCTTATGGAACATACTTTGACACTACAATGCATCTGAGAAGATCGTCAGCGTTATCCTGAATTCATACGACGGATTACAGAGGAGAGTCGTGCATGGAGGACAGCTAACAGACGCATTTCGTCTGAGGGGCGGAGTCACACAAAGCTGCCTACTCCTCTCTCTGCTCTTTCTTCTGGTGGTTGACTGAATTTTGAAGACCTCCACATCACGGGGTAAGCATGGAATACAATAGACAGGTTGGATGCAAATATACGATTTAGGCTTCGCAGACGACTCAGCTCTTCTATCCTACACACAGTAATCAATGAAGGTAGAAACAGCTAGAATAGCGTCAGTCTCTACTACAGTAGACCTCAGCACACTCAATGAAAAATGTGAGATTCTGAAATGCAACACAGCGAGCACGAACTTAATCACGCTTGATA